GTCAGTTTTTTCTTAAAAAATATTAAAATATACTTTTCCTATTTTTTATTAATATATCACACTATAATTTAATTTTCTATATTAAACAAAAAAATATTACTTTTTAAATGAATCAATATATCATGCTATCACGGTATCACCCATAAAAAAAACCAAATATCGTATATTTCTAATTATTAATGAAATAATAACATATAAACAATAATATATCATGCTATCACCCATAAAAAATATATATCTTATATTTCTAATTATAAAACCAAAGCCATTAAGTGAAATAATAACATATAACTTTTTACACGAGTAAATATATCATGTATATAGGTAAATAAATGTATTCTCAATGTATATAATTAATTAATATATGTTATTATTTCTAATTGAAAAGTTACAGTAAATAAGGCATATTTAGAAATATGTGTAATGCATCATATATTTAGAAATATAAGATTTTTCTTATTAATTATTTTTTGTGTGAATTTCATGTATTTACTATTTCATTTATTTATTATTTTTTCATATATTTATTATTTTTGTTCTACTTCCATGTAGCCTTTTAAAATTTGTGTTTGTGTGTGCCAGGTTTTTGGTAAAAGAATGGTTGGTGAAGTTCAATCATCTAATAGTCCTAATGTTGCTTTGGAAGGGAATGAAGTTCCTATAGAAAGTAGTGGAGTTCCACTCACACAGGAAGTTCAATCTACTCCAAATGAAATAAATATAGAAAATCAAGATCCTGAAGCTCCCGTTGAACCCACTACAAGTCCTAACAAAAGGGGATTAAAATCAGATGCTTGGCCCTATTTTAAAAGGCAAAAAATAGGAGGCATTTGGAAGGCTATATGCAAATCTTGTGATAAGAAAATTGGTGGTGATACAAAAAATGGTACTAAACATTTATTTGATCATATTAGCATATGTCCAAAACGCACAGAGAGAGGTCCAAAACAAGCCATGCTTAAAGTGACAGAAAAAAAATCCGGAAACAGACATGAATCATTTGTGGTTGGAAATTATACATTTAATCAAGATGTTTCTAGGAATGAACTCGCGAAGATGATTATATTGCATGAATATCCCATCATGATGGTTAACCATATTGGTTTTAGAAATTATAGCCATTCTCTTCAACCTTTGTTCAAGATAGTTTCTCGCAACACCATGAAGAATGATATAATGAAGTTGTATGAAAGTGAGAAGTCAAAGCAAATGAAAATACTTGCAAAGAATAAAAGCCGCATTGCAATAACTACTGATATGTGGACTGCTAGCAACCAGAACAAAGGATATATGTCTGTTACAGCTCATTACATTGATGAAAATTGGATTTTGCAGAATCGGATCATCAGGTAACTTCTCCCTTCCATTTACGTTATTATTATAATATAGTTATTTTATGTGATATTTATTATAATTTATTTTTAGGTTCATTTATGTCCCTACGCCACATACTGCTGAGGTCATTTGTGATTTTTTGGTAGATTGTTTGATGGATTGGAATATTGATAGAAAATTGTCAACATTAACCGTTGATAATTGTAGCACCAATGATGCTCTGATTGACCATTTGATTGATAAGATGTCACCTTCTTCTTTTATTTTAAAAGGGAAATTGTTTCATATGCGTTGTTGCGCCCACATATTAAACTTGATAGTGAAAGATGGCATGCAAACAATTTCTAGTTCAATTGAAAAGATTAGGGAAAGTGTCGGTTTTTGGGTAGCAACACCAAAGAGGGAGGAGAAATTTAAAGAAACTTGTAATCAATTGAACATGACTTATGAAAAGAAGCTTGCACAAGATTGTAGAACAAGATGGAACTCTACTTATTTAATGCTTGCTTCTGCATTGCCTTACGAACAAGTTTTTAAACGTTTAAAACAACACCGTGATTCCCAATATAAGTGTGCACCAAGTGAAGAAGATTGGAAAATGGCAAGAGAAATTTGTGACAAGTTGAAATTATTTTTTAGTGTCACTGAGTTGTTCTCGGGTACTAAGTATCCAACATCAAACATTTATTTTCCCAAAGTTTGTCAAATAAGATTAGCTTTAAGAAAGTGGGAAGATTCTTCTAGTGATACTATACAAAGTATGGCAAGAAGTATGATAGTGAAGTTTGACAAATATTGGAGTTTGATTAATGGGGTGATGGCAATAGGGGCTGTTTTGGATCCTAGATATAAAATAACTTTGTTGAATTACTTCTTCCCACTTATGTATGGGAATAATGCTCCCAAAGAATTGGAAAAGGTAATACAAATGTGTGAAGATTTAGTTGAAGAATATCAACCAAATAATGATATGGTTCCTACAAGTAGTGAAGTTGGTGCATCAACATTGGTAGATGACATTGATGTCACAAGTCAAGATTGGGAGAAGGCTTATTCGGAATATGTGATGGAAAATACTTCAACTACAAATGTCAAGTCAGAATTTACTTCCTACTTGGAAGATGGTGTCTTGCTTGATAAACAAAAAAAGGAAAATTTTGACATCTTAGGATGGTGGAAACAAAATGGTTTGAAATTTCCAACTTTGCAAAAGATTGCAAGGGACTTTTTAGCAATTCCTATCTCTACCGTTGCTTCAGAGTCCACCTTTAGTACTAGTGGTCGTGTTTTAAGTCAACAACGTAGTAGGTTGAAGGAAGACACTTTAGAGGCTTTGATGTGCACTCAAGATTGGATCCGAAAAGATATAAAAGGTAATATATTTTTATCTTTTACAAGATTAATTGAAAAGGATTTTTAAATTTTAATTTAGCTATTTGTTTCTTAGGTTATTCAAAAACGTTGACTCAATTCGAATGTGTGGATGAAGATATGGATGATGATGATGATGATAATAAGGTAATTTACATATTAGTGTTGATTACCTTTTAGTTTTTAAAGTATTTTTTTAAGTAAATATAATTATTGATTGTTTACTTTTCGTAGGAAAAATAAAGTCATATCTAATTGTGGAATGAGGAAGAAGACCTTGCAAGGAGAAGTTGGAAAGAGAGACATGATTGATCATTACTTGTTTGGATATTTTGCTTAATATTTTAGTTTATTTATATGTAACTTTGTTTTAAGTATTTTGATATTTCTACTTTACGTGTGTTATCAATTGAGCAAATAGAGATATGTTGACTTTTGCTTTTAGTTGACTTATTATGAAGTATTTTTTAGCTTTTCAAGCATACTCATGATGCTAAATTTTATAATTATCCCTTATTAGTTTTGATGAAGTATAGTTTTTTAAGCATAATTATGTTGTTGGATTTTTTTAGTTGTTTAGGCATATTGTTACTTTAAAAAGTATTATAGTTCATTTTGTTGAATTTTATAGCATTTTATAGAAATTTATAAAAAAAATATTATTATTTTGTGTTCCATTAGTATTTTTAATAAAAAATAATAAATGTCAAATACTAGTATTTTTTAATAACATAATAAATATGTGAATTCTTTGTGCTTTTTATTTTTATAGAAAATATAAACATTTTAAAAAAATAAAATATTAATGAATAAATGTAGGATCTATGGGGATCCCCGCGGGGAACGGGGATGGGGATAGAAATTCCCCCGTGACGGAGATCGGGGACGGGGACGGGGAATGAATTTGATGGCGGGGAAAAAGATTGGGAAGTGTCCCCCCGGCCCCGCCCCGCCCCATTGACATCCCTAATACAAACACCCACAATTAATGAATAATGTTGGAAAATTTTAAATTTTACAATGTATTTTCTTTATTTCTTATTATATAAATTTTAATTTTTTAAATTTTGTTGAATAATTGATGTATTTAATTTATATATAATTCAAATACAAATGAAACTAACAAAAAATTAAAATTTAGAGAGTTGAATGTTATTATTTCTATATCTTACCAAATATAATATATATCAGCTTAGGAGTATTACCAATAATGCTTTATTTTATATTTTATTTTGAATGGAGCTAATAATGTTTTCTTAGTTAAAAACAATTAACAAGTCTACGAGAAGGTCAAATTCGTTTATGCAAATCCTAGTGAATTCATTTGTAATGCATGTATTTTAATGATTTATTTAGAGCCTATATAATTTAGCTTTAAAAAAAATAACTTAAAAATGATTTTTATAAAAATGTTTTTCTAATTTTTTTTTAAAAAAATCAAATTTTCTAAATTAAAAAATTTATTTTAACATTATGTAACACAAATGTATATTATTGAGGATTAAAAGGTAGTTGAAATCAGAATTTTTTCCTTACTAATTTTTATAAAAAAATATATGAAATACCTTCAAGTTTAAGTAACCTTTTAGGCTTTTGATATTAAAAAAATTATAATAAAATATCTAAAATAATATTTCAAAAACAATTTTGAATCCAATTTTTTAATTTAAAATTTTTAAAATTATAATTTTTAATTTTTTTAAAATAAAAATATATAATATTATAAAGAATAATATTTTAAAAAATTAAACAAAGAGTTTCTCATTTATTAAACAACATTAATATATTTTTATATGAGAATTATTTTCAAGGGGTAGTACAATCATCCTATGTGATAAGAGTTTAATGGGAATATAGTGATAATATAAAAATGTTTTACGCTATCATTCAATAAAAATATATTACTTTAATTTAAAAATTGCAACATATATATAATGGTATGCATGATACTCATTAGGTGTATTGTTACACTGTAAAATAATTATCAATGCAGAGTCTAAAATTCTTTAATAAGAATCACAAGAAATAAGATATTAAATTCCATTTATATTGAATTTCATTTATGACGCTTATTTCTTACCAATTATACTTAATTAATAGTCATTTATGAGTAACGAATAACGTTTTAAAAATTAAAAACAATTTTCAAATCTTCCATAAAACCAAATTGAATGAATCTTATTTTAATGGACCTGTCTACTCTTTCTCTCTCCCTCTTATAAATAGAGTTCATTTTGACACTAAATTTCATCTGCAAACTTCTATCTTATTCTAATTTTAATTTACTTTAGAAAATGTCGTCTACAAGTGCTTTGCTCATCCAATGCTTCTTGGTTGCGGTTGTTTTAATCTCTTCCATGGGGGAAGCTAGACAATTGAGTAAGAATTCTTCAATCTTTATAAATGGTTATATCTTTATTTTGCTTTTTAATTTTGTGTCTACCATTTCTTTTCATGAAATCCTAATTATTTGAGTAGTAAGACATCTTCACATCTGTTACTCTAATAGAATACTTTTTGTATCAAGCACTTATTGTCTTATTCTATCGATAGAAAATTCAAGTAAACATCTCACGCACCTACAGATTTGTTGATTGGTGTACAAATATATGTTACCATAAACAAAATATATACTATGGCCAACTAAAATTGTGTTCATTATTCATAAACGACTAATTCCAATGTAAATTTGATGTAAACATGTGTAAGTTTGAGTTATTTTGGTTAATGTTTTTGCAGATGAGTTTAAAGATCAAGATGGGGCAAAATTTGAATCTTTTATACCTGGCCTTCCAGACATACCAGGATTTCCACCCCTACCAAACATTCCAGGAATCCCAGGCTTTCCAGGTTTCCCATGCATCCCCGGCATACCAAGCATTCCGGGTTTTCCATGCAATCCAAATTGGCCGAGTCCACCAACTCCACCAAGTCCACCAAGTACACCATCAGAAACTCCAAGCTCACCACCTAAATCATTTGGCTCACCTTCTCAATCTCCTAATTATCCTCCTGAATCCTTCTAGTTCATAAGATGAATCGTGGACTTTGCTTGTTAAATCCCTTAGTTTACATCCTTAAAATTGAAATATCACAAAATAATATGGATTGTATCATTTATTTGAGCAGAATAAAAATAAATTTGATTTAGTTATGAGAATGTATTACAAAAGTTTTTACTCTATTTATGCAATATAATATGTGAAAAATCACGTCACAACACGTAGTAGTGATGTGAATTTTCACGCGCTAAGAGTTTGTCTGGAAACTCTATTGCAACCTGAAAATTCTGGTATAAGTTTGTCACATGATATTCACGTTGGAACCGTTTGCCACATGATATTCATGACACAATATACTGCACATATATTTCTCCCTTTTGTCAGCTATAGTTAAGTATGAGCAGAAAGAGCAGAGTAGGTTAAAGTGAATTACGACGTGATTTTCACGTGACCAACTTGTGAAGTGAAGTGAAAATTATGTCACAAAATTTAAAAGTAGTTGCGATGGAATATTCACGTGGCAAACTTATGAAATGAATATCACGTCACAATATTTTTTAAAATAAAAAACTAAAAATAATTAACGTTGTGACCTTTTTTTAATAAATTAAATATACTAAATTAATAAATAAGAATTATAAATATTAAAAATCTTAAATAATAATTCTATAATATACTAATAAGGTTTAAATAATATATTACAAAAATTAAAATTTAAAAATAAAATAAAAATAAAATAAAATAAATCCTATGGGTCGGGAAACTCGTCAATATTAAGATCATCGTCATCCTCCTCATCCATCGACTCTTGGCCACTAACTTCTTCATTTCTATCAAACGCTTGATTACTACTCCTTTGTGATTACGTAAATAGCCACATTGGCTCCTCCATATTAGATTGCCTCTTTGTCATTGTCTCCATTTGTCGTTATTGCTCCTACTTTGGGTCTTTATCGCCGCCTTACGATGCGCCGACTCGTGTCTCGCCTCAGTTAGCGTCAATTGTGTTAATGTTTCTAGCATTTCGGGTGTTAATTATGGTGGAAGTAATGTTCCTTCCTTATATCTAACTCTTTGAAACACTATGCCAAAACTGCTTTAAGGATGCACACCTTAGACAACGCTGTTATGTGTCCCGAAAAATTTTAAATTTTAAAACTATATACATTAGACACCATTTTATTAAAGTGCCGCCTAAGATCAATTAAAATTGAAATAAAATAAATAAATTATAGAAAGCGCTGTCATAGGCTCAATAGTAGAAAGCGATGCCATAGACATAAAGCGCTGCTAAAGCCACACTTTAGGCAGCGCTTTCTAAAAACACTGCCTAATGTCAATTAAAATTGAAATAAAATATTATCGTCTAGGTTTTGCCTCGTTAATTTCACTATTCTTCTTCTGCTCCTTCTTCTTCTATACGTTGTTGATTCCAAATTCACGGAAGTCTTAAAAATCATACGTCGTTGATTCGTCGTTCTCCTTCCATACTCCTTCTTCTCGCTACCACCTTGTTGAACGACGTTCTCGTTACCCTCCTTCCTTCGACTGTTCACGAACAACCACCAACACACTAGCTAGTGACGACGTACTCCCCCATGCTTCTTTCGTCACAACATACAACTAGCTTCGTCCAAGCTTCCTGCTCCATCCAGTAATCCTCACTGTGACACTAGCAATTGTAAGCATCACTATCATCCTTCTTTTGAGTTTCTTTTGGTCTTTTCATAATATTGTTGGTGCTGATTTTGTTTTAAGGTGTTAATGTTAAACTAGAAATAATGAAATTAGGTTAATAGTTTTATGTCAGCCATGTTATTTTTCTGAATGAGGAATTTTTTCTAACATTGTTGTTATTGGTGTTAAATCTGATTGATACTCATGTCAGTGTTAGTATTTTCTTTTATGGTTGTGTGAATATGAATGAGATTCTGAATAGTATATTGTTAATCTGATTTCAGATTGTTTTCGGTTTGTTTTGATGGGATTTTGTTTTAAATAATCTCCATTTATGTATGGAAGTTTATTGCCAAATGGAATGCAAGTTTTGGGTGATATCTTGTGATGGCAACATCATTATTAAGAGTATTTTGTGTGTCATTTTTCTTATGAGTAATACTACTTGGTTTGAATTAATTCGACTGAGTTTTTTTGTTTCAATACCTTTAAGTTTGAGTTTAACTCGAGTGATATTTTGATATCGATGTCACTTTATCCATATTGATTTTGAATAATAGATTTTGGCTAATATCGGTGTTCAAATTATATTGAGGTTTTGATGTTAGTTACGAAATTGAGAACAATTAGTTAATTTTCTGTTAGAGTTAATAGTTGGACTGTTAGTAGTTAAATTGGCTTTGGCAATAAGTTAAAAATTTGTTAGTTAAATAGCTGGATTTAAGCTGTATAAATTATTGGATTTGGCAATATATATATATATATATATATATATATATATATATATATATATATATATATATATATATATATATATCAAGTTTATGTATATATAAATTATTGGATTAAAGCTGTATATATAAATATGTAAATTTGGTGCATATTTATTGGATTGAAGCTGCAAAGTTTATGAAATCTGATGCAAATTTGAAAGATAACACTTATTTTAACTGATTATTTGTAGAGATCGGTTAAAATATAAGCTATATAAATTAAAAAATTTGTGAACATTAGGCAGCGCCATAAACAAAAAAGTGCTGCCTATAGTAGGAAATAGAAAGCGTTGCCTAAAGGGGTGCATTAGAAAGCGCATCTAAAGTAAAAAACACTGCCTAAAAGGGACTTTAGAGAATGCATTTAAAGAAAGTGCTTCTTAAAACAGAAAAAAAAAGTGAACTAAAATATACATTACACAGTGCTTTTAAAAACATTGTCTAAAGTGAAAGCGTCGTCTAAAGGGGTCCAATAGAAAGCGCTTATGATGTAAAAAGCGCTGCCTATATGGGCTTTTAGAGAGAACTTATGGAATAAAGCGCTGCCTAAAGCCTATATTATGCAGCGCTTTTACATTGACAAAAAGCCCTGTCTTTATTTACAGCAATACAAGAATAGGCAGCGCTTTAAAGCGATGTTTATGGCAAAAAAAAGAAGCATTGTCCATTCCCTTATATGGCATAGTGAAATAATGTTCTATCTCATTAGGTACCTTTCCTCCATTTACTAAATCCAAAATATAAAAATCTACTCGTGGGTTAAGTGACTCTGAACCACTCGGAGTATATTGAGAATTTTCAACCAAAAATTGTGCAAGCAATGTCTGATAATCCTCCTACACATACAATAAAAAATGAAGTTAAATATAGTTTAAAGAACTTAGTTATATACAAGAATTATATTAAGTTAAATTAAATATTGAATGAAATACAACCACGTGATTTTCACGCCACAATATCTCAGTTGCCACGTGAAAATCACGCCACAAAATTGACATTAAATAAAAATATATAAACAATTTAAGTAAAATAACTTACGAAAGCTTTTTTGGTACGTTCATCAACAAAATTCCTCGATTTTTTTTCCGAGTCTTTAAAACCCGCTCCTTCATCAGTGGTGGTCTCCCCAAACTCTTAGCCTACATAATAAAAATAACTTTAAATAAAAATACAAAATAAATTAAAATATAACTTAAAAAAGTAGTAATAATTACCATGTGTCGACCATGTTCGAAAATACTTATACTTCCAACTGCATTTAGGCTACCCCCTTTTTCAGATACTTATACTTAAAATCAGGTGTGTCCTAATAGACAAGAAGTTCATCAAAAACTTCTTTGCCTATCTAGTTAGGACAGATATTTTCTGCTTCCCAAAGCTTTCTAGTATGTTGTAGCATATGTCAGGAAGTCGAACGAATGTTCTGCATAATTATTTTTTTAACCTCTCTCTCGTCCATTTGTTTCCACGTACACTTTTCCTGCAATGATTTTTAATTTATTCAAATAAATAGTTAGAAAATTATAATAAAAAGTAATTTAAATAACATTAACTAAAAAAATTAATTAATTATACTCGAAAATTTCTAAACCAAGCTTCTTTTTCTCGCAAGTCAATATCTTTAAATCTCTTCCAAGCTTTTTTATATATTTGTTGAATTACATAATTTATACACTAGGCAGCAATCTGACTAGGTCCAAAACTAAACAACAATAATTTGAATTAGTATTAAATATAAATTTATTTAAAAAATGGCAACATGTATACTTAAATAAAAATTTATAAATTTGAAACTTACGAATTTTCGCTGGACCAAATATAATATCTTCCATCAATGATCTGAATCTCACTCGCATCATCCAAAATAGAGTCATCCTTCTCATTATCATCGTCGTCATCATCCTGCTCCTCATGATCATCCTTATCCTTCTACTCATGATCATCCTCACGAGTAGATATATATTTTAGGAGGAAATACTTGTTCTAACTTATAGAGAATGACTGAAATATTCCGGTCCAACTTAATGATGTCACCTACTCTTAAATATGACGCACAAATATCTCTGTAAAAATTGACTAATTTCAGTTAGTGGATTAAGCATATGATTGGATAGTGATCCGAACACAATTGTAAGCAATTGTTCCATAAAAAAATGCAATAATGACTTTTCATACCATGACTTTTCATGGGAAGGTAGAGTGTAATTAGCCTTGGGTTTTAATAATTTTCCATTCAGTTGAGGCTTCAACTCCAACTCTTGTCGATTACACCAAATTTCCATGTCTTTTCTAGCCTTCTCATTATCTTTTATTTTGTCTTTAACATCAATCACTATGTTAAATATATTATCAAAAAAATTCTTCTCAATATGCATAACATCATGATTATGACGCAACAAATTATCTTTCTAATATAGGAGGTCCCAAAATGTACTTGTTTTTGTCCAATTGTATGTGACCCCGTATCCTTGAATTCTATATGCTTTACTAGTATCTGTGAATTTTGGTAGTTCACAAAATTGGTTCCATACTTCACCTGGTGACAATCGAGGTAGAGGAAAATTTGTTACTCGT